TGAAAATCACCCTGAAGCAAGTACTGTATGAGGCGACATTTGTCACCCTGACACAATCTAAAATCATGGTGCACATTAGCCCTGCTTTGGGCAACACCTAGAACGCTTCAAAGGCTCAGACCATCCCTGAAATGGAAATATCAGTTAAAAAGGATTTTGTAGGAAACTGTAAAAAMCATTTTTTAAATCACTTCTGCTGATGCCCGTAGCTCCTAGCCATAAGCAGCTGCATTAGCAGTGAGTATCTGTGAGTATCACTCATCACAGCACCACACGGCCCGTGGAAACCAACCAGCCAGACGTGCCCCAAGAGAGAGCGAAAGCAGCCGGAGCCCCCGGTTTGCCCAAGGCAGCCCTGCTCCAGCAGGAGGGAGCRAGGAAGAAGCGCAAGCTCCAGTCTGAGATTCCATGGGGATAGTCAACTGYCAGGCTTCCCACAAGTAGGGAGCTGGGGTTCAAGAAACAGCGCGCCAAGAGGCAGTTTTCTCAGCAAGATGTTAGCAGCAGAACACAAATCTGCTTCCCTGCCAGCCAGAACTTGTGTCACTTAACCCTGGGCTTCTCTCCCTGATTTTCTGTAAACCTGTTCTCAAAGATTTATAGGATATAGTGTGAAATAGTGGATTGCAAAACATGGGAAATTATCTTACTAAAATATTTGATTTTAGTTCTCCTAGAGGAGCATATCAATCAAATTACTTGCCTGATGTAAATATTTAAACATTTTACTTGCCTGATGTAAATGTTTAAACATTTTTAACACTGCATCCCATCTTTTGATATTTTATACCCTTTGACTAGCATTGGTAATTGGACATTAGCAGCATCTTAAATGTGAAACTATTTCAAGGCTGCCTATTATTATTAGTGCATACAGTTGATTATTGAAAAGAAGAAAATGTGGGACACAGCAAGGTGGGAAGAAGAACTTACCTTCTCAAAGGTAATGTGTTACAAGTGCTAAAAAGAGCATCATCTTCACATCAAATCAAGCAAGGTAGAGGATTCAAGAAACAACGTGCCAAGAGGCAATTTTCTCAGCAAGATGTTAGCATCAGAACACAAAGTGATGTGTCTGGAAGCAGAACTGCTGAGCTGCAAACAACCTGGGTGTGAGTCAGAGAGTATTAGGACAGTGCCTGTCCACCAGGAACACAGACTTGATTGCATGTGACTTGTGTCAACTCTGGAGACATCAAGAACTGAACATAAAAGCAAGGCAACAGGGATATTTCTAAATGAGCCATACAGCCTCTAAGGCAACGAATCTGGCAACAACTCAAGTTCCAAGAGGAAAAAGTAAATATTCCAGGTTCATGATCCAYGGCTACAGCTCTCACTCTTTTTGCTCTTCAGGAATAAGATCACCAGAACTACACCCTTTAAATTATTAAAAACCAGGATCCTCTCCTTTTAGTTCAGCCCGTAACTGTGAAACCAGAATCCACTCGCCTGTTCAGGCTCATTAGTGTCTTTGGATCCTAATGACCCACTCAGCTGCAGTAAATGAAAAACTAATCCTTGTTTTATGCCATTGGCCGAAAAGGATTAAGCAACTCTTGCTACCCATGCAATCAGCCTTGCGCTGGGCAGATTACTCCCTCTAATACTGTAAGTCTACACATTCCAATCTGTTACAATAAGTAGCACTTAAAGCTTATTTCCTTGAAATGCTTAAGCGTATTAATGCTGTAGTGTAAGACTGTTTTCTTATGATGCAATGATTCTTCTACCACTGCCCCCATGTTTGCGTTTACCCATATATATTTAGGCTGCCATTTCGCTTTCAACATGAAGTTTTAATTATGCTCCCAACTCTGACATCAGAAGTGAAACAGGGATGCAGCTCTACACAGGACCCAAAATCACCAGGCACCCACGTGCAGAATTTCCATATACACGATTTTTTTTGGCTGTGTGGAAAAAGTGCAACTCAAAGTGTAAGCACTTGCAGCTGAAACCACAGTTTTCATTAACTGYTGGATTTTTCAGGTGCCACTTTTTGTTATCTTACAGTTAATCTTAATGAGTAGCTAAAAATAGATCCCCTGCTTGTATTCAGTGTTCTCTACTCACCTCTGTGTAGTAACTTGGTTTCATTAAGAGTTGCATCGTGGCACTTCTTCCAACCCAGGATTTCACATATATTTTACATTTTTTACATGTAACATATATTTGCATATATGTTTTACATATAAAATGAGTGACCAGTCATGTGAGATGAGCATTACGTTGTGATGATATATATTTTTTTTTCACATCACTGAAAAGTGAATATGGTACAGAGCTAATTCTAACACAATGATATGCACTGAACCTTTTTTCTGATGTCAAATTGAACAGTTCTTGTGTTTATATCACCTTAAGCATAATTTGAAACAGCAGAAGGAAAATTCTCCTACAGAATGATAAAATGTGCCTGCATTTGATATTGATAGACATAGCCAGGAAGCTACAGAAAATGAGTGAACTGTTCTATATCAGGAAACCCGATTTTTGAATGAAAACATTTTGATAAATATCTAACTTTCCATCAAAGGTGTTGCATGCTACAGTAAAGCAGGATTACATTAAAATAAATGCTGTATCCCATAAGTGCTGGAAGTCATTCCAGTAGTCTTAAAAACCTGCTARTTTTTAAATTTTCTGATGGATACTGATGGATAAAATTTAGTAACTTGTAAATGGAAATCTCCTATGAATAGTAAARCAAACATGAAGAAATGTTTTTTGCTATTATTTCTGATACGAAAAATGACATTCCTGTATAGGTTTTACTTCTCTGGGACAAAGATACCTGAGCCATCAGTGTCTACCCCCTGGTAGCAGCAGGTTACTAGTGTTTAAAAATGGTACTGAACATGTTTAAAACCAAGCAGCTATCCAAAATCATGATTTTCCCTACCATTCTGATGATCTACTCCCTGTAACCTGTTTTCTTCTATTACTTCATCACTGAGTTATGAATCTGACCTCTGTTTTACGAGGTTCAACACAGGGACAGAATAAGAAGACAACCCCCCACCCCCAAGGCTTTACAGTTAGAGTATAAAGTACAACCACATTATCACTTTGGGGACAGCTGCACTGCTTTTAAGGGATTACAGCTCCCCAGCTGCCCCTCGCTATCCCTGCTCTCCAGTTAAGTTGCAGTGTGCACGTGCTACCTGCTTCTCATCTAGTCAAGTCCAGAATCAACTGAGTTTCCTTTCTAAACTTCCACCATGATGCAAATTGAGACTATCCGCCRAGGAAACTCTCTATTTATGCCACAGCCACAATGTCAAATAAGAAGTGGTAATGAAAAAATAGTATTTTCTATTCAAGCAGCCTCAGCTAYGCTGACAAGGGCAATTCTGCTTGTACTTTCAGACAAGAGATGGACATAGCCCAGTGTGTTTGTAAAGGACAGAACAAAACTAACCTGGTCGCTGTGAGGGATTTTACTCTCAGCCATCCAACAACGTAACAGCCTTTTTTATAGGCATTATAAAGAAGAAATTATTTTAAGGCAGAATTTGACAGATACCATCAAAGTAGCTAAGTGAGTGTTTATAAGCAGCTTCTCCTAGCCATATGTCACAGCATGAACATCTCTCAAATCTCAGAAAATTATCCCAAACACGGGGTAGTTGCCTCTTCTGCAGTAGTTTTCTCTTTGCTGTTATTAATCAAGCTATCAAATTTGTGTATGTAATCATCCAGCAAGATCCTGGGCTATGGTTTCTTCCACTCCAGTCAGCAGCCTTGGATTACACAGGTAAGAGAAAGGACAACACAATTCATCACAGGACAGGTATTGAAGGTTCAGTTGCAGAATAACTAAGCTAATAAAATGGCACTTTCTAGACTCCTGAATTATCTCAGAAGAGTATCTGTCAGTAGCATACCCTAAAACATTACCCCCAAAACTTCAGTCATCTCTCAAGTTTGCCCACAGCTTAAGTGTTCAGCTGTCCAGGTCTGCCGTAAATTAGAAAAGCTGTTCAAAATAGATGAATAGATATGTAGGTACAGCGCACTAAAGCCATGTGTCCCATTTTTTATTTGTTATATCTCAGCAGCACTTCAGTTAGACTTCCTGAATCCTTCCTCGTATTCCTTCAAAAATCCTCAACCTTCACCCTTCTCTCAGCACAAGAACTCGAGAAGCTCGGCTGCATAAAGATGTTCCTAAGCCATTTAGAGGGGTGGCAAATAAGGAGAAGCTCTGGCACAGATAAATGAGCTCCTGGTTATTTAGGGCTTTGCAGGTCAGCAAAGGGAAAGGGGACTCCCCTTAGGATTCTGCTGACAGTCCTGTTGACAGTCTGGCAGACTGTGCAAACTAAAGCAGTAGGGTGTTTTTCATCACCGTGTTCCACTCGCTCCACGTGCCCCTCTGTCTAGTTTACATCTTTACAGGGTACTTGGTGAAGCTTGGGGGATGAGGCAGTCTCCCCTTCATTTGCTCTGCTTATTTGCCCACATCTCATCTGCCTGCTGTCAAGGGCAGTTCTTCTTCATTGGAACTGACTGAGAAATAGACTCCCTTATGAATTTCAAAAGGACTTCCAAAATTCAAGTCTGTGTTTCACATGTAACAGAAAAGATGAACTCAAAAATGGTCTGGAATCTCCTCTAAAGGCCTTAACTCTAAAACTGCTCATTCCAGAGAAGATGGTGTTGAAAAACTCACAATGTATAGATGGCTCAGAAGAGACAGAATATTCCCTGTTGAGTAACTGTGGTGGTGTCTTCACTTCTTTCCAGAAGGAGAGCCCTTCATGGAAAACTGAAGGATACACCACTGATTACATTTTGACTCTCTATTTTTGTATCTTTGTATTTCACTTTAGATAACAACAGAACCTTACATAAAATTAGAAAACATGTTTATTTCAAAAACTTCACAAATATCCTCTGTGAAACAGATAATGCAACGTATTTAAGGACACCATATTTAACTCAAATTCAGCGTTGACTGCTGCAGTAAGGTTACTTTTATTAACACTTTCCACATAAGCTATTTATTTTATATTGAAGACTGAAAGKACTCACTTAGAAGCTTAAATGCTTTCTCACAGATATTTAAACAACTCTATATGCTATTATAAAATGATATTTCTGCTGCTTGTAAGTGCCAATTTAGGGAGAACATATCATAACACTTTATGAAAACAACATATTTAGAAAATAAGCATGAAAAATAACAGCTGCATCTCAAAGCATGTGTGCTTGATGAACATATGCTCTTGCAGCAACTGCAATAATGTATTCTTAAAAGAAATGAAAAGAGAAGATAAAATGCCTTGTACTTTAACTTAAACTGAAAACATTTGTCAAGGCTAAGTAGCAAAAGAATTTACAAGGAAGTCAAAGGTATTCAAAAGAATGTAAATGGCTTTGTATTTTGTAAGGAAGAATGAAAACCTTTCAAAGAAGGAGACTGTGATGATCTCTGATCCTGTCCAAATGCAAATGTAAAACTAAAGTCATCTTTTCCATCTCCAAATGCATGAGAAGACGATTCCGAGGGGAAAGGAAAGGTAAACGCATCTTCATTTTCTGTTTTTCCAAATAAGCTTCCTACATGGAATACACATTGAATTACTACATTAAATCTTACTGAAAGAATATTGCATTCAACATAACATGTTTTTGTAATAATATTATACTCCCTCCATTTTGTTCAGYCTACAATTGTGCGTTTATTTGTGCATTATAAATGGTGCTTCAAGAAGGGCGCTACTACTAAGAATCTACGTAGAGAGAAGAGTCAATAAATTATTTAGAACAATGGTCCACCTGTTGTGTGGACTGCGTGAAATATTTTGCTTATTAGAAGCAGACATCTTTTTTTCCTGAGAGGAGAAAGAAATCACACAAAGGTATCAACCTAAAATGTGACAAACAGCAGAAATATTTTGAGAAACAAAGGTATAGACAGAAAACCTTTTATATTTAGTAACAAAAACCCCACAGACTTTTCTCTAGAATAGTTATGTATGCATACAACCTTTTATTTGTATTTATCTGCTGCAAGAAAACAGCTTTACACCTGTAGCACCCCAAAATACTACTTTCCAATAAAGGCAGGATTTCCCACAGAATGTGTAAATATGCATGGCTCACAGAGCAGGAGTGGAAAATATGGTTTGTTAGGTCTGCTTCTCCTCTCTCTCACTTGTGCTATTTTTACATTGTGTACTTTCACTGTTTAAATCAGTGAAAGTTTGYTTACCCTCTAGATCTCTCTATCAAAGTGGTAACTCTATTTTCATTTTAGCTGAGAGAAAAAAAAACATCAAAAACAAAAATCAGATGTCCTCTTGCAACTCTGAACTGGTAACCTTAAGTGGTATTTACCAGGTACTCTAGCTTTTTATATTACCAGAAAGGCTTTTATGAATGAGAAAGCTTACAAAACCTGGATATTGTTACATTTTCTCCTCTCTTGCAGCTCCTTCAAGCATACCTAAAACAAGCCCCATTTCTTYGATTCCCATACCTCTTCTTTTTCATGACATCTACTACATTTGAAATGCAAGAGACAGGCTACGCAAGGGAAGATTTATGCTAGTTATTAGCTTGTCAGTCATACAAACATAAACAGAAGACAGCTCACATACTTCGATGCTCTTCACTTTCAAACTTACCAATATCTTTTTGTGGGGATATAGGGTTTAAGTTTCCTGCAGAATAACCTTCACCTGCCTGCAATATAAGTTGGTTTACTTAGCAAATGGAACATGAACTGTAAGCCCCAACGCTGATATGCAGTAAGTTCATTTGAGATTGATGAAAAAGATGCTTTCCTGTGAATGTTTACAAATTCTGCCTTAATATTTTTACCTCAGTTCTTAAAGTTGTAAAGCTAACTTTTCTCTAAAGAGAAAAGTTCAGCACTGTACTTGCTTATAACTGCAATCAGACTCCATCTATGCTTCAAAAAGCATCGGTCTAACTGCTCACCAAAATCTGGTCTGATATTCTGGTATTTTTTAAACTAAGAGGAATTAAAATAATTTTATTCTGTGAGAGCTTCTAAGCAGTAAGAGAACTGACTTGCTCCTGAGTAGAAGCTGGCAGTACCCGAAGGAGGAGTGGTACAGCCGCTCTCAGAGTGTTCTTAKGCTGATTTATAATTGATACAAAACTCTCTATTAGGCCAGCCAAAATAAAAATGGCTCTGTAGCACTGCCTTTTGGCAATCTTCAAAATAAAAAGAAATCTGGATTTTACTCCCTGTTCCAACTAGTTAAATAAATCCTCCATTCAAATAAGGCTGTTAACTCTTATTTGCTTTTCAAAATTCCTAACAGATGTTTCTCTCTTTTTTTTTTCTCTACATTATGCTTTCTGTGAGGAAAAAACAACATTCTTAAGTAACTGCCCCCCTTCAGCAGCACAGCAAYAGTCAGGTTTGGCAGAAAGTTGTGAAATCTGCTTCAGTACCTTAGGTTTTATACTGCAGTGCTAGGCTAGAAATGTTCCGGGAATCTTGTTCACCTATATACCTGCACAAGAGCCAATCATAACACTGCCCATGTAGAAAAGATCCATACTTAATTGGAAATCACCTTATTAAGATTACCATGTATGGAGATGAGCATTTAAAGTAGATATCAAATGTAAAATTAAACAAGCTAGTAAATCAAATTATAAAAATATAACCAGTCCAAAAAACCTCATTCACTGCCAACGCTGTTTGCTTAGAACACTTTGCTTCACATAAATTTAGTGTCATTTTTACCTCATCAGATGAATTTTCTGATCCAAACACAGAAGTTTCAAACAAATTAAAGCCAGGTGACTTCTGGGGAAAGTTTAGGAGAGAAAAGAAAGCAGGAGATTTTGGTGTTGTTTCTTCAGAACCTAAATTATGGATGCTGTAATGACAAGGAAGAAATTACATTAATAATTTAAGAAAGTACTGCAGGCAGCTTTTTTTCTTCTTTCTGTTTCATCATTCTTCTGAATTCCTAGTTTCTATCAATATTCGTTTCTTGCAGCACAGAGTAGATAATATTACTTTGTAAAGAAGTAAAGTTCTTACCAATTCTCTTCCTTTTCCCTTCACATTACAAGCAAATGGTTTAAGGATAGAAAGCAGTGTAAAAATGCTACTGCAGGAGAAGGCAACAGTTTTAACAAAGAATGTATATACTCATATTTCTGACTACAGTCCCCTCCTTTCAAAGTAGAACTGATACTTTGAACAAACATCTAATAAATTGTCTAATATAATTCAGAAAAATTCTGAGGAGGTTCTGAGGAGTTTTCCAGAGAAGTTTTTCTATAGTATCTTTCAGAAATATAGGAAATGCTAATGCAAAACATCAATACAACTTTGGTCACAAATTCTAAATAAAAACTGAAATCATACAAGTCAAACGGAGGTGTTTTAGAGAACTGGGTTTTCTTCTCCTTTGACTCAGGTGTTCTTACAAACACAGGTGTTTCAGGTGCTCTTAGAAAATGCTCCTCACTTTCTTCTGCTGTGTCAGGATTATCCTCATTTGACTTAAAACATACATTTACATCCTATTAGAAAGAAAACGTTAGTCTATTTACCTATAAATACATTAATCATACACTTTAGAATTGATTAGGTATTTTTATTTTCATGAAAAGAGGTAATTTAATTACAGTTTCATATTCACTATAGTTACAACTGTAACCTTAGTTTAGTTAATCTAAAATGGACTTCTGATTGAAACTATATATAAAATTTTTCATTATAAAAATAAAGAAAGCTGTGAATGAAAACACTGATTCTGAACACAAGATCTTATTGGAGTTATGACTAGGTATAGTGCTTTAAGTCACACTGGAACTCTCTTTGATATTCCCTACTAAAATAAAGGAATATCACCATAAGAATATATTTCAGTTGACTGAGATATTTCCTCTCTTACAGGAAATATTAAATGGGAATTTACACTCGAGTTCCATGGAGGATTTTCCATCAGACTCAAAGGTGCTTAAGGACATTCTCCTCCATCAGCTGTCTGCAGCCATGAGTCTGCAATGAGCCAACCTGAAGATGAGTATCTCAAATTTGAGATTATATATATATACAATATACAGATATTGCATACACAAGGTGTACCCACAAATGGCTTGAATACACTGGTGCTGTGAGCCAGGAATCACGCTCAGGCACAATTAATAATAGCACTGAATATTGTGCCATACAGATTCTGTAATAAGTACACGGCCCACTTCAGTTGCAGAGGAGAGTTCCATGTACAAACATTTTTTTTTAAATGATCGTGTGAATTTTAACTCACRTTAACTGAATTAATATCCACCTTTTCTATACAAATCATATTATGTGTATTATATGTATGCAATGGCTGTCCTAAATCCCCCAATTATTGARAGAAAATAAAAAGCCACAGATTAGGAGCAATGAGCACTGCACTAATAGCCAGAAAGAATGGATTGGCTTTTCATCYGCTGGGTGTCTTACACTGAATCATATTGCAAGTTCCTGGGACTTGTGTCTTACCAGCAGATTCAAATATGTCAAGATACTTTAACTGCTCTAAATAAAGTAATTATTTATGGCRTAAGAAATATTTTACTTACTTCAGGCATATATGAAGTGTCCTTTGACTCATCTTCTGCTTCTTTATCATCACATTTGGTCTCTTGGTTTGCTTTGCAAAAAAAACAGCACTGCTTGTATCGTAACAGCATTTTAAATGCATAAATAAAAATTATGTCGTGGAAAATTTCACTAACTTGGCATTGCTATTGATAAGGAAGTGTTCTGACTGTGTTTTTCACAACAACCCAGTATGTGGCCATTTTCGTAATAGCTTCCTCTCATTCTGCCACTTATTCAGTATCATTAAAGTAATGTTTAGACTTTTTTCATATTGTTTGCTATGTTCTACTAATCTAGTTATTGCTCTCGGAGAGTGCTAATAACAGGCAACAGAAATCATGTGGAAACAATATAAAAAAGCACATCCATATGAGACTGATGAAGTGTATCTCAAAGAACTGGATAAAAGCCAAAATGGGAAATGAGAATGTTACCAGGAGCTTTCTCTCCTAATTTTCAGACTGTGATTTTTGACACAGATCTAATTTGGCAATATAAACAGAAAAATACATTTAAATTAAAGCTCAGTGCCTTGTGATTTCAAAATTATAGGGGCATTTGTAGCCATTCTGTTTTGTTTCTCTTTCAAAAGTTAATCTTCATTTTTAATAATCTTATTCTGATATTTCTGCACTCCTAAACTAGTTTATAATTAACCTATTCTTTTCACTTTCTCATGCTTATTCTAGGTAGATTTTCTTACTGGATTTCATTTCATCCATGCAATTTGAAACTAGAGTGTGAACTTAATGATGGATGCTAAGAGGCTCCTTTCATTAGCACTGGCCAATGCAGAATGACTTAAACATCAGTGGGCTACTGCACAGTTCAATCTCCATCTAAATTAGGACTTTGCCTCTCTGCTGTTCCCACAAATTTAAATTAACTTACCAAGGTGGAAAAGGAATATAAATGGTAGCTTACCTAATGTCAAAGTTAAAATCCTTTGTTTTTCTCTTTTCTAATTATTTGAGCTGGCACAGAATAACAGCTCAAAATGACAGTGGTACTTTACCTACTACTGTATCTTCACTTTCAAACTGTTGATTAGGAGTCATCTGCTTTGGAGGAATTAGCGGCCTACATAAAAATAACACAAAAAAAMMMCACAAAAATAACACTACTGTTTGTCTGAAGAGCCATTATTTCCATAATCTGTAATCTCAATAATGACAATTACTTTATTAAACAAAGGTTACCTGTATTGTATTTGGTTTTGCAAGGTTGATATTGATGAAACTTCAGCAATTTGTGGACTGTTAGTCCCTGCACTGCCAATAACCAACTAGAACACAGAAAAAAAAAATCTGCTGAAGGAGCTTATGAAATTTTTACTTCAACAATGCCTGATTTCTCCTTAAACAGTTCAAATCCACTCTTTTAAACTGTTTAAAGTACATACAAACATTTTTGCCATTCTTTGCATTACCTCCAGTTAAACTTTTTACAGTGTGATACCCAAACCACTTGTTCTCTTTTTGATAAAGTCACATKTGCAGCATTAAAGGCTAGAGATGAATCATTAACCTTTCAGTCTTACAAACAATATTACATACTACACAACTCTTACTTATGTTTTTACCACTGCAAGCAGGTTGCTCCTGCTCCATGTGGAATGCAGGACTGCAGGAGACATGGAAACACTCCCCTCCTTACAGATTTTCATCAGATCAGAAGCCCCAGCTCTCACACCTATCACACATTTGCACCTTAAAGGCACAGAATGGCACTAGGAATCTACACCTCAGCCTCAGGAACTAATTATTAGCGAGTGCAGGGAGGTTGGACTAGATGATCTCTAGCGGTCCCTGCCAACCTTAAGGATTCTATGATTCTATTTCACAGGGAGCTAGTTTTTCTTCTTTATAATTTGTAAAACACATCACAAAACAGAATTGAACTTGGGCGGGGGAAACAAGGCCTGAGTGTGTAGCATCTGTTTGCCATCAGAACCTGCTGCTTAGGGCACTTCTGAACCATAGCAACCTCCTTCCCTCCGCTACCTTTTTTTCTTCCCTCAGACTCCATCCTCTTTTCTTTGCTGCTACCACCTTTTCTTAAAGTTCCCTTAACCTTGACTTACTGCTTCCCACTATTCTCCTGAGCACAATTCTAGATCCCACCCCGCCCTCCCATTCTCATCTCTGGATTACCCTGGCAACAGCCCTTACTTCATCCTGACCATGTTCATCCCCCTCAGCCTCTCACCAACTGTAACCCTCTGAGATTTCCTCTGGTCTTGCTCCACTTACTCTAGCCGTTGTCCTTCGTGTTGTCTAATCTTATAAAGACTTTTTCTTCTATCACAGGCTCTATCCTAAATCATTTAGCGAGTCATTCACTTCATCTTTCATTTCCTTGCAACTCTTAAGAAAATCACAACTGGTTCTCCTATTTTTCACATGAAAAATGTAGTTGTTCATTAAAATTAGGGTTGAAATAGATCCAGTGGGATGTTCCTTATGAGTAGTTTTTTTGTATGGAAATTTCCCAAAACTTTTGTGTAGCAAACTTTTGTTCTGCTGCAAACGAGGTACTTTATCTCCTATGGCATATCTGATAACGCCTTTTGTACTTTGAAAATTTATTGGTCATATGAAGGTTTTCGCAGTTAATAAGATTTTATTAACAGTTCTTATATCTATGCAAGTTGTACMTCCAACTTGCTTTTGGCTTGTCTTACTGTGTTCCTCTGCTTAAGATATTAAGCTGCAGAACACTTCAGCTTTTCAAAAGAACGCCAGAGGAACAAGGTGGGTTTTTTATGGGTATCAAAAGGAAAATGCAGCTGTGGACTCCTCAAGTGTACTCAGCCCCTGGATTTTTTTTTTTTTTCTGATTAATCTTCAGAACTGAGATGCTGACCATAAAAAAGCCCTGTAGAGTATCCTGCCCATTTCGTCCCTTATGAAATCCTTCATTATGCAGACGACTGACCTCCATAGCTTACTCTAAATTAAATATATATATATATATATATATATACACAAAATTATTTGGACAGGCTCTCCAACCAATCTTTGGGAGGGAACTAATGCTAAAATACTTAATAAAACTGTTGGTGTCACTTTATAATATCATGAATTATTTTGTAATAAGATACATATTTTTAGTTGAATTGGAAAACACACTGAAGGAGGCAATATTTAGCATTCTAGTTCCAGTGTTAACAAGTTTTAAGGAACATATAATAGCAGTGGGTATTTTAAACAAGTATGTAAAATGTATCTCATATTTTTACCAGGAAGAGAACTTCATACCTGTGCCTGATCTTCTGCTTGGCTGGAGGAGCTGCTAGGGACCACTGAGTGTTCCCTGGACTCTTCTTTTTCTTCTCTGCCTAAAGTAATAAATAATACTTATTATTATTACTATTACTTACACAGCATCACAGAATGATTAAGGTTGGAAGGGACCTCTAGAGATCATCTAGTCCAACCCCCCTACTCAAAAGGGCACACCTACAGCACATGGCACACTTAATTAATATTCTTACTACTACAAAATAACCAAAGCATGGCACTTTTATATTTGTGAACAAAGCTTATAAACTTCCCTCTTAATGGGTAATTAAAAGAAATGTATTACAGAATACGAAAGCAGAAAGCACTTTACTAAAATAACATCTATTTACAAATGCTGCTCCAAGTAGGCTTCAGATCTGTCTGATCATACATATTGGATATACTTGATATGCCACTTTCCTCACTGCGCAGATGAGAGAGGAGTTAGATACAGAAGATTTAATTATCACTGTTTCCACTAATTTACTTCACAGATGAGTCAAAATCCTTACAAAAAGATAACTAGAAATGCACTGTACCTGTTTCTGTCCGTTGCATAGAAAATCTAATAATCTGTACAGACCGGACTGATTTCCGAGGAATGCAAGGGAGATGTAATGGTTTATACAGTTTATGTTTCTCATTTAACAAAGGTGGATGGTCACTCTCTTCAAATACCCTAAAAAAAAAAAAAAAGTTAGCATCTGAAAAAAAAGGAAATCATAAAAGACAACTGCTTCAAGTAAACAGAGTTTTAAAGGGGGATCCATGCTTCCAGGGAGCTTTCTACCTCTTTAAGCTCCAGAAAACCAATAACACTTAAGTTTTCCTTAAAGAATAAAAGACTGACAAATACTATAATTCAAAGTGGAAGATACAAAGTATTAATGAAATGATTATAAGAACACTGTCAACTTGATTTTTTTTCAGTATCAAGGAGAAGTATTAGTAGCTGGGGTTTTATASTCTCATAAAAGTAACCTAACCATTATTATAGTTCTAAAATGACATTTTCACATTCAGAAACACTTCTTCTCTGCCTGACGTTTTCTGAAATACTTATACACATACAAGAGAAAACCACACTAAGCCATTTCACTTTTGAGTTAACACATTAAACTAATAACTCTGATAAAAAGGCCTATCCTCAATTATAAGGTTACATACATGCCTTGTGCAGTGCTGGATGCAGCTAAAAGAATGCATAAACCATATAACTACCAATATAGCAATGAAATAGAATGGGAAAAAAATAAAAAATAAAAATAAAAATAAAGGGGGAAAAATAAAAAATAAAAAAATAAAATAAAAAATAAAAAATAAAAAATAAAAAATAAAAAATAAAAAATAAAAAATAAAAAATAAAAAATAAAAAATAAAAAATAAAAAATAAAGGGGAAAAATGAAGGTTTTTTCTGAATTTCTTTCAAAATAATAATTACAGATGCCACTCGTGTCAAGAATTGAGTACTGCAGGAGGTAAGATGTTTACCTGAATGGCATCTCTCCAAGAGGAGAGCTTAAAAACAAGTAGGAATGGAACCACAGGCGAGCAGGGAACCTTGGCTGAATCTGCTTACTCACCTTTTGCTCACACAGGCTTCTTGGCCACTTTATCACAGTCACCATCAACAGTGAGTTACACAGGGCTGCTGAGGATGGTTACAAGCTAGGCTGCCAGAAAGCAGTTTTTTACAATCCTTAGGCTGCCAAATGGTGATTTTAAAAGTTCCTGACATTACTTTCTATGGACTTTTGTGAAGTCTAGCAAGCATCTCACCACAGTGAGATATATCTGCCTTACACAAAATAAAGAGGTTTTTTTACAATATTTATCTAGACAAAAGAGTGTATCAATGGCAGTTACAAAAAGGGCTCAAGCTCTTAAGGTAATTTTTTTTTTACTTTTTTTGAGKTTTTTTTTAGTTTTAGTAATAAAACAGTCTCCAAAAGCCTGCAGTTAAATATTACACTTACACAATACATCTGCATCCTTCTCTCTTCTGAAACACTATTGAAAAAAAACCTACAGGCATCTTCTCTGACATAATTAATAACCATTGAAAGAAAAAAAATCAAACTGCAGACTCAAGCTCAAAATAGTCCAAATTGCAGCAACAGCTAGAAAGATCATTCATCTTTTTATCTACTTCACTGTTAGACATATGAGTAGATAAAAAATCTTTATCTTGATCCATATTGTGAAACAGATAATAATTTTGCTTTTTACTGAGCTGTAAATTAAAGGGAAAAATAGATAATCTTAAGTGAAAATAACATTGCATTTGTTTAGCAGTAATTTCATCCATATATAATGAAGTCCAAAGATGAATATGGCTTTATCTTTACTATTGTACTAAGTGTATTTTGATTATGTCTATGACGAATCACACTGACTAGTGTCATAATTAGCAGGACTTTTTACTGAAGCTGTGTTCAGTATTCCRGTCCAAGCATGCTAACAAGTCCTTGAAGAAGCAAGATTTTTAATTACTAATAACTAATACTAAAGTAACTAATAATTACCTATGAGGTTGTGCTCAGCACAGTTGACTCTTCATACATGTTTACACTTAAAAGTACAGAAATATCTTTATGAATATTTTTCCAATATTTATATTACAAAGATATTTTATCTTTGCTCAGTAATCACTTGTAATGCAAGGACACTGAAAGAATGGCAATCGTCCTCTACTGAATATGCTTTACAAGAAGTATGAGCAAAAAAATGTCTCACTTGGAGCACAAAATATTGTAGATATTCAGAGGCAGAATTAAAATATAGAATCAAATTGACAAAACAACTGTACAGACTGATAGAATTAAATCTCTCATAGACACTTTAGGAAAGCAAAGGCCATGAACATGACATATGCCAAAGTATTTAAGATTTCAGCCTCTCTATGTAAGAAATATGATCTCTAATTAAAAAATAAAGACTACAGCTTCCACTAAATTAGCAGTTCAACTCACTTTCAAATGCAAGCAGATATTATGTGATGTGCTGCTCTGCAGTATTCCTAATAGGTGATTAATTAGGACCCTTGATTTGGAAATTTTAGCTATGATAATTGTTCTGTGTAACTGGTGTACAATGAAAGCCCATTCATTAGAAGAAAAAAAAMCAGCCTGTATGGGAAGAAGGGGAATCTATGTTTTGTGGTCAGCCTAATCAACAACTAGCTCGCCAGCAACAACTGATTCAAATTAAAATGTTGGTTTTTAAAAGAACAGTTACCATGTCATTCTCCTGCCCAAATGAAAATGTATATATCAGCAGTTATTAACTTCCAAGTTCATCTCTTGTCTTCTAACTCAGTAAAACATTTCATGGGATTTAATTTGTACAGTGTTTTGCTCAGTGCTTCCAGTGCTTTGCTTAGTTCCTTTCCTAGATGCCGCTGATTTCTCTTCATGCTGTTCTGCTTCAGTTCAGAGATTTACAGTATAATCCGTTTTTTCTTTCTCTCTTTTGTGGCAGAAGAAGGGGCGTCTCATTTCTTCACAAAGCCGTTTCTGCTCAACAGTCATCTTGTAGGGGTTGAGGAACAGCTCACAAGAGCTTACTGCCTTTGGTACCTATATGCTGCTGTTAAATATATGTATATTGCCTTGAGCCTGAAAAGGTTTTAGTTCATATGACTACAGAATAAGCTTTCCAAGAAGGCTTAGCAGAAATGTCTCATTTCAAACATAAGATAATTTAGGCTTTCAGAGGCAGAATTAAAACGCATCATTTTAGTACACTTTTCACAGTGATCATGTTCATAAGTTTGTAACATATCTGTTGTTAACATCAGTAGCTATCTAAACAAATTCTATGCTTTCTAGTAAAGACTGTTCTAGCAAATGACAATCTTGATTTCATGAGTGCAAAGTTCTTAATAGACTAATGCCAAACGGGGATTTTTTAAAACAATGTTTATGTTTGGTCACAAATCTTTATATTGTAAATATCTTTGACATGAATAAGCATAAATAATTTACTCCAGGCAAAACATACTAATTAATAACCAGGTTATGGTCTGATGCTGTAGCTCATATGCCGTATCAGGTAAGTGCGTACATGGAGGTTAAAGAGAAATGTTAGCATAAAATGTTTGCAGCTTCTTCTAACCTGCAATGGTTGCTTCAGTAGCAGCATCTACTTCTGTGTGACCAAGACACAACGTCTGCTGCAGGCGCAAGTGCCTGAAGAGCCCATAGCCCATAGGCAAAGACACAACCAGCAGGTCTGGCAAAATGCACTTTGCAAAACATTTCTATGAATGGTTGGACTGGTACTTCTCTGTATCTGAGCAGACTCCTCCGACTTTTGCAATAGTTCTTCAATCAGCATTCTCCTTTCTTCAGATTGAATGTACTTGGTTCCTTTCAAAATTCCATAGGATTATTTCCAAGCTTTTTTACTTAGTCTTACATCGTAGTGGATTTCTTGCCTACCTGTATTTTTAAAGTCTTGCCAACTAAGAAAAGCACATACATATAAGCAGAACTGGTGTAAGGTTATAAACCATAAGAAGATAATCACTTGAACGATTCACATGGCCAAAAGGAGGATATTTACACATGTCCGTGTGGAAAGGATATTAGGAATAGTTATAAAAACAAATTTCTACACATATAGTTCACTAAATGCCTAATTTAAAATCCTAAAAAGCTTCTTTTTCAAGCACAACACAATGTAAAGTTACTTGATTCAAGTCTTTTGGACTTATTTTCAGTTTCAACTGCAATCTGGTCTAACAGCAGTAGCTCTAAGGGTGATATTTCAATACTCACAAGGATTCCAGGTGAGTGCAAGATGATCCTGATGGTGATTTTCAATCACTTATAAACAAGCTCCAATTAAAGTGAGTCCCAGTTGTAAATGACTATTTACTATGCCATTATTCCTATCTATGAAACTTTCACCCATGGTTGTTTTTAAATTTTTTAAGTGGTTCAGAGATGAAGCAAAATGACATTTGGAACTCTGGTTATTTTTCCACCAAATACCTGTTTAGCAGACTATTTCTGACTTCACAGTCACTACAGCTATAATCCAAACTTATAAAGCTATCCACATAATTCTTTAAGTAGTAGCTGTGAGGAACAAAAACTTGTGGAAAATATTTGGGGATACTGTGTTTCCAAGCACATTTAGCTTCCAAGAACCAAAATTCAACAATTTTTTAATAAACACCATGAAATAGGAAACTTTTACAATTACATAAATATATCACCTGTCCAGGGTTAGAGAAACCTTTCAGCCATTATCACAGCATTCATCTGTGTTTGTAATAGTTTTTGTGTAAATGCTGAGTTGGTTTTTCTGGATGAAAGCAAGCAAAACAACTCATTTCTTAAACGTACCTTTCTTGAAACCCCTTTGGCTTCTCTAGACTTTTTTTATTTGTTCTTTCCATCATTTCTGAATTATTTTGATCTCCTGAACTCTCCTCAAAGGTCTGAAAAGATAAAAGAAAAAAAAAAAGAAGAGAAATATCGTAAATACTTGATAAATTATAGCTATGTGCTGCAAATGTTTTCTAAAATTGATGAATCAGTGCATAGTACCAGTGTTTCTGTAGCCATGAAAATTTAAAGAAATAAACAGAAGAGGGTTTGAAAGGCAATCTTCTTTTGTTGGACCAATGGTAACAATTGGAATAAACACAGACCTTTTTTTTTTGTGCACAGACACTACAGAGCTAATGGAACTAGGAGCTTTTTATATGGTCTTAATGGATACAAATTACCTGACCTCATCCCATACAGCCTTTACACCACATTGGGAACTTAACTCTCTAACGACAGCTGTCACCCACCACTGTGAATTATAAACAAAGAAGCACACAGGGTGCTTCTGTCGGCACTGGGCTGGGTGCAGTGGACATCTCTCTGGCACAGCTCTAAGTGCAATATTTGATCATCTGGTCCGGAAAGGCAGAAGTAGCCAGCTGTGATACTAGGAAAACTTAGCAAATCCTTTAGGAAATTGGTATTCAAACCTAGGGGAGACCTGGGACTGCTCAGCAGAGGGGTGGGTGGAAGTGCTGTCTTGATAAAGTCCTTTTTTTGCAAGATCATCATTTTGGAATCAGGGCTTCTTGCAGTCATTGGAACATTGGAACTAAGGTCCTACCTTAAATCAGCAGATGTTATCTCTGAGCTTTACTTACCCTCATATTTATTAAAATAATAAAAAAAATAGAAATTTTTGGAATTTAAGTGACAATTTAGGTGACTCTGACAGAAAACCACATTTAGTTAAACATATTAACAAACCTTATAAAAACTAGTATAATCTGCATGGGCAACACTCAAGCCCTGGGGCTCGCTGAGGAATGGCACTGCTATATTTTGAAGAATATCATCTGGCCTTCCTGAGCTAGCAGAGAAGTCACCATGGCACAGTGCCTCAAGGGAAATGATGGTGTAAACTGAGGTCAATATGAAGCAAGCTTTAAGAGCTCTTACATTCACAGACTCTTCTTCCCTAGAAAACGTATGTGAAGCTACAGAAACATAATTACTTATTCTGGAATCATACTGTTTGTCTGTTTGAAAAAAAACACTACTTTTTATGTTTCATAAAATCTAATGGAATATATCTACATATATAAAATATGCATATAAAATAAAATGAGAATATACAGTTACCCTTTTTAAATAATTAATTTTCCTTTCTAATTCTTCTGTTTCTTTTTCTAATTCAACTGATTCTTGAGCAGCAATTGCAGCATGCTTTAACATTTCCTGTGTTTTCTGCCTCAGAGAAGCACTTACATGTTAAGGAATATATATGGTACAAAAAATTATAATCATGTCAGAGAATAAACATATTAAACCGTAACCTCTCTCCAAGTATTTTAATTAAAAGTTTTTCTCTTACAAATGTGAATTGTACATGTAAGAAAATGGAGACTAAAGTTCCCACTAGGACAATCACTGACCCTGGATTTACTCACAGGGTAAAAAAATCCTATGGAAACAAAAGGTGGTGGATGAAACCTCTTTTTTTTTTTTTCTTTTTTTCCCCAGTAATTTATCAGAGTAATAGAACATCATGGAGAATGGCAGAAAGGTCACCCATGAGCTTGGTGACTCAGGAAGACACGGGCCGTCTTAACACAAGTCATGGGATTCATTTGAAGTTCTGATCCTATGAAAGCTACAGGAACAGGAATTTCCTTCTCACTCCAGTGACAGCAACACTACAAAGGTCCCAATGGCAACATAAATTTTGAGGACTAGGTACATTAAGAAATTCCTTGCAGCCCCATCCCACAAGCACAAGTGCTAGATATACAGAAAGCTCCGACAAGTTTACACTTTGTAGACAATTATTCTATCTTGCTCAGTCTTCTCTTCCTTACTGGAGTATTTTGACTGAAATGTCAGAAAATGAGATTTGTTTTTTTTTACTCGAAATGCTCCCAAGAATTTTAACTGAAATGTATTACTTGTTCTTACTTTTTCTCATAGGAAAATGCCTATAYTGCCACTCCAGAACTAAATCTGCAAGCAATGACTATACTCTTTTATTAGRAAGATATGAAAGGTAGATATAAACTTTTTGCCTGTAAACTTCATAGACACTGCACAAGGATACATCTGTATAGCCCAATCATTAAGCGACTTAAAATTCATAGGCTCTGCAAAAATAATTAAATTAAATTAATAAATTTCACTTGAAAACATTTCTTCACAAATCTAATTTTCTTTACAAATGTAAAGTAAGTTAATAGTTTGAAAGCCCTTATCTTTGGACTAGCTCTAYGTAATAGAAACAGCACTACAGAGAGTAAGATCATTAAAAAGAGCAGGAAAATAAATACATGAAAAATACATTAAAATAGAATTTTGAAAGTCTAGACCTAATGTAAATTTTATTAAGGACTTTTCTACCCCAAGAAACCTAATGGCAAACCTCTCCCCCTTGCATTCATTGGTACGAAGAATAAATATTGGCATGCATATTCTAAATCTCTGAGAAATTGAGATAAACAGTGTTTGTACAGTACTTTTCAAGTGCAGTGCACTACCAATTTTTACACTAGGATCTACTGTTAAAGCCTTGATAATATTTATGCCAAAATACCAATATCCAAGTAAGCATCTTCTTGCAATTTGTATTGTTCAGACTCTTGCRAAATTCTGTTTTGAATTTCTTCAAGCTCTTTCTTTTTTCTGTAATACTCCTGTGCAAGTGGCATTTCTGAATATTTTTCACGATGTTGCTTCAAAATCTCTTTGTATTGGGTTATGTAATCCTGGTACATTTTCCTGTAAAAACACAAGTAATTTTTTTTTTCACATGCAGCCATTATTCCTAAGGAAAAACAGTATAATTTATGGAATCAACTCGATTACATTGTCGAATTGTGTTCAGTATATCACTATTTGGCCCTAGCTTCTCTCTTCAAACTATTTTCAACAGATTATGTCCCACATACCCTAAAACACAGTTCCAGTGTAAAAAAAAGCAGTCAGGTTTCATCGTTCTGAAGATTATACAACATTTAAAGGCAGCTTTGCAGATGTAAAATGTTTTTGCCTTTGCATAATTATCACAAAACTCACAGTAGCTCAAATTCCTTGGCACAACTCCACTGATTTCAGCAGAGCTGTGTCAAAATTACATGGAAATAGAACTTGGCTTCACATCCTATATTTAGAGGAGCCTGATGCATCACTTAGCTAAGAGCTGCCTCCAAGGAAATGCTGAGCAATCTGTATCTGATTCAGGGAAGCTTTAAACACATACGCTAGTCGCATTAAAACAATAAGGCTATTCATGTTTAAGGTTAAATAAACACTTAAATGTTTAGTTGGCAAAGAGCCAGAATTTAAGACTTCCCTCTTAAATTAATCTTACATTAATACAATTTCACTGGCATCATGTGAGCACATAGCTACAAATGAATAAAGTAGCTAGCACCAGTTAAGGGGACCTATTTAATAAATCTTCACTACGTTTCAAAAATTTAAACTGGCTATTGTAAATCTCTAAAATCATTATAAAAAACAAAGAAATACCATAATAAGTAACTGGATGTAATTCATCACATAAAACTGAAAATTGATCAATAATGTGTTTAGAAAGATGAGAAAGAAAAATGCTGTAGCACATCATCCTGTGTTAAATCAATGAAAGCAACTGCAATGGAAAAGACTTTCCTTGCTCTGATTCTTCATTCGCCCAAAGAATGTATAGGACAGATAGCTAATGACAAATCAAATATTCAACTGTCTCATTGTGATGAGTCTTTTATTTTCACCAATAGTGCTGCTAAATATAACTTCCATTGCAGGTACTTGCCAGGGCAAAAGAAGTATCTTTTTGGTACAAGTGAGTAATTAACAATGCAATCAGCGAATTGGTCCTGGTTTCTTAAGCACATACATCTACATCGCACACAAGTGATGCAAGGATAGGTCTGCAGAACATCTATACTTCACACCGACCAGAGGTTAAATAATCATGCTTTTAAAAGCTATGGATCATAACAAGCAGTGATTACCATCTGTAATTCTTTCTGCTACTTGGAACTTAAAAGTTTAGCAACTGCTCGAAACAAAACGATGCAATTTTTCAAATGGTGATATTCTATATCTCTCATTCTTTAAGTAAGATAAATTTCATCATATGCAAAATATATTACAGAAATTCTATGTTGATAATTTATGCAGATAGTACATGTTAATAAAGACATATCACAGGTCCAGACATCTAATATGCTTCGTTACAGCAGGCTGATCATTAACAGAGAAAGTAATATTACACAAGGTTGCTTGACATTAGAATATGCCATTATAAGATCATATATTTGAAGTAGAACAAAACATAATGCTCTAAGAAATAGAGCACCAAAAAAAAAACCATTATAGGAGATAAAATGGAAGATCTCAGTTTTCAAATAAAACCACACTCCAGACACTAGTTTCTCTTAAATTGACCAAAGATCAGCAGACTTGCTTAGAGGAATGAAACTGTAAATCAACACTGTTATGATTCAAGGTTGTGAAGCCAAAGAATTGAGACTTCTCAAGCTTTGTGTTGAATAGGGCCTTAAGATACATGCACTTCAACACGTGAGTCCTGGAAATCTAAATAGTGATTGTTGTACCAGATTTTCCAGGTATGGGAGGAGGGGAATGTTGAGCTCAACTTAATCAAGGTTACAAACTATAACTGAGGAATTGTCGCTATTGGAATTAAAGGAATTGTCGCTATTGCTAATATTTCTCCTAAATAATTCACATTCTCTAGTCAACATAGTTAAAAACAGGCTACTAAGCATTCAGCAATATGTTACATTTATTAGTAGAAATATTTATTTAATACCAATGGGAAAAGGACAACATCTCCCCAAACCCTAAATACTATATGAATAGCTACTTATTTCTTTATCCTTCTTCATTTGGGTTATTTTCAGGGTTAACTTTCAGTCTTGGAAGTTCTTGTATGAACTTGAAATCAATAATAACAAAGAAATGTGGAACATTTCTCCATAATCTCCAAAATCTYCATAATAAGAGTCAAATTCAATGCAAATTAAAATTATCTTTCCATCTAAAGCAATATGTGCTGAATGGCCCCAGATGTAGGCTAACAGAGCATTCGCCATATTAGGTTTAGATGTACTTATTTTTCTTCCTGATTTGTTTATTTAGAATCTGCTGAATGCACATCTTAATGATTAAAAAAAAAAAAAAAAGAAAAAAAATCTAATATTTTAATACAGAGGGAATATATTTGAAAACTATCTGAAGATCACTTTTATAAAATGAATAAATTGAATTTATGTTATGATTTATAGTCATAATGTCTTATAATTAAGCTCTCAGGAAAACAAATTAAATCAAACACTTCCATGTTGGAAGTGAAACTAGTGAACTAAAGAAGCAATTTAGAAGTAATGCTTCTCTGACTTGTCAGCTTAAATTAGTGAAAGTCAAAATGGCTTTATCATATAGTAACAGAAAACCAATTTAGCCTTATTTTCACCAAATAGAGCGCTCTGAACAAGAATAAGACAGATAAACTACTAACTGAGATAATTTAAGGCTATTGGGCATATAACACTATTTTTTCAGTCTTTAAAAAAATGTCAAGAAGAACAGTYACAAAAAAAAAAAACCTAAAGTTACCTAAATTCATACCTCTCACTCAGTACTCAGAAACTTAAATAGATCTGCCCTGCTGTCAGCATAGGGCTAACTAATCTCTACTCCTCAAACAGATCAACAGAGCAGTCCCTCTAAAATGAATTTTTTATTTCTATTCAATTTCTAAATTTCTTATGATAATATTCGATTATTCACAAATCAAGATAACCACAAAATGATCTGGGTATATCTAGTTATTACCTCATTTAGTGCATATACAAATTTAAAATCTTAGGTTCAATCAAATGATGCTTCTGAACAAACAAAGCCTGAGTATTTTCTGAAAGTCTACCTGAACCTGAATATTACTCTGAAACTACTGATATTCCAGTATACCTGAAGATAYGTTATCACAACCAAAAGATATTATTTATGGGTGAAACTTATTTGATTACYTGTTGATATGCTCTCACACTTCATATTGCTATTAAAATTTTAATCTTCCTTTACCTTTATTTCACAGGCTTTTTTTTGAAACTACAGTAAATTGAACAGTGTTCTGGAAAACTCCCATGGGTGCTGGGGAAGCAGTGGACTTTGCAGAAGCCATATTTTATCCTATCGCATTAATAACTACAAAACAACAAATGATCTCCTAATAATGTAAATTGGATATTATTTTAATTAGTCACCTTATTACCCTGAAAAGTTTAGAGAAGCAATAGCTCTTTTTAACAGAGAATGCATTATATTTGCTGATCAGTTTATATTGCCTCATAGCTGCTATTGCTTGAAACCTCATCTCATATGATCATACATACTTCTCATTTTCTGTAGCTTCTTCTTCATCTTTGAGTTCTTTTTTCAGGTATTCTTCATATTCGCTAAGAAATATGTAAGTGGGTTTCCAACTGTGGAGGATAAAAAAGGATAGAAATGATCTTTTCTAATAAAAAAGCATTTAAGAATAAAGACATGAACAAAGAAGGTATTTCAGCCAACTAATTAGGAAAGTCATTCATTTGATCYTTTCAAAATCAAATATAAATTTTGTTAGTACAGAAAGCTTTTATATGTAGACATTTATTTTCTCAAGACCTAAAAGCTGCAAATTCAAGAATATGTTTACAATGGCCAAAAATTCCAAAGTATTCTTTGAAAAAGAAAAATATTTATGTGACGCTGGGCATTTTCTGCATAAATGTTCAGCTCTTCACAAAAATAACTAACTAATACTAACAATTGACAGGTAACAAAGAAGCTAGTGATATTTGCAAATTCTCCAGTACCTAAAAAATGCAGTTTATATCTGGCTATACACCAGGTCAAAGGTCTCCATTCTAGGAATCTGTCTCCTGCCAGGAGGTGTTGAGCTGCTTGTGCCTACTCAGCTCATAACTAGATTCCTCTAGAGTAAGCTGATCRATCCATATAATGCAATAAAGCTCAACCTGGGTCTTCTTGTGGTCTCAAGTAGTTCCTCTACAGTCTAGAGAAATAATTATTCATTTTTTGTTATTCTTACCATTCCAAGTGTGTCAGGTAAGGTGAGAGCTATGAGGTAGCCCATCAAAGTGATGTTCTTACAGAAGGATGCTGCGGATTGTACTGAAATCACAGCAACTTCAGGGGGCCCCTGAAGGACCTGGCACCTCAGAACTAAGTAACTCTACTGTCTCCACAACCAGGAATGCCAGATGCCTCTTCCTTGGATGTGTGAAATCTAGAAGACTGGCAAATATATTTAAATGAAATGCAGATGTATATTCTTCCTCCACACCACTGGAGGAAGAATATAATGGATCTTAAAGAAAATATCCTATCTGAAAAAAAAGGGATATCATACAGAGCATGAGCCAGTAGGACAGGGATATCTCCTTTCCTTTTAGGTGAGGTAGCTGTTAGAAGGAAAAAAAAAAAAAAAGTGTTTTCATAGAAAGTTGTAACAGAACAAATTGCCAGAGCATGGATCAGTTAGAGATTATAAAAATCCAATTAGGCTACCTCTGGTGTATGCAACCTTTGGATAGGGAGCACTATCTCATTGAGACTTACAGGTACCTACGTGTTTTGAAGTAGCAGAAACTATAGAACAATGACTTGAGTCTAGTGAGCTGAATGGGTTTGTCTGCTTCTGACAAACATCTCTCCAACTATGGGAAAATAAGCTCTGCAGTGACCGGCTGTCAGTAGCCAACTTCTGAGATGCAGGGAGCTGAGGTTCACAGATGCTGCTCCTTGTGCATTACATATATAGGCTAGAAAGAGTAGTACAGAAATCCAATTACTAAAAAAAAAAAAAAAAAAAAAAAAAAAAAAAAAAAAAAAAAAAAAAAGCATGTTTCCTCCATAGAAATTTCTATTAAAAGAAAAAAAAGTCTCACATCCTCTCTCCCAAGTCAGGTCTTAAATGACATTTGTCCAGAATATGCATTTCCCTAAATCAAAACAAACATCTGGAATGAACTCTGCATGAGTGGAAGTATTTGTCTAAGAAGAGGCACACACAGAAAACTCAGCTTTAGGAACATTTAGGTAGATCCTACCAAAGCTACAGACTGAGGAGACAGAAAGAAGGGAGTATCCATAAGACTGAAGCACAGTTTTAGCTGGAGATCGAGCAAAAACAAAGGTCCATTTAAAGGAATGAAAATTAACAATGAGAGGACAAAGGGCAATATAGAACAAGGTTGCAACTGAACACAGCCAGTTATTCCGTACTGGACAGGTGAAAGCTACTGAGAATGTAAGACACACTTTGCATTGCATATGCATGAGTAGAGCAAGCAAAGGGCATTTTTGGATGCAAGGATGCCCTTTTGTTCCTAACTGGAGTGTTTGTAGCATGCAATCACACAGAGTACAAATGTGCACTTGGACAATCACTCCAAAGGCGGAATAAAACAGGGACTTCAGAAACAGCTAATTTAATATAATCTCCACCAAGGAATAAATGAAGAACAAAGACCTGACATTTAATTTACTGAACAGAAGTCCAACAACCTTGAACAGAACATGATACACTCCAGGTGCTGAGACAAGGCAAGAAGATATAAGGAACACTTACAGCAGCGTTCAGGTTTGCCAGCAAAAAAAAATTTGAGATTGAGAAAGTGCAGGATCCATTCAGGAAATTTAGTATTATTGGTACAAATTGTTTGACACTATCAATGATTAAAAGTATAACTGGAAAATGGTTCTTCTCCACAACGGCTGCAAATTCAACAGAAAGTCACCAGAAAGAAATAGCATATAAGTACTAGCATATAAGTCATCCACCCTGAAAATTCAAAGCCTTTCTTCAGAGGGGAAAAAACAAAAAACAAAAAACAAAGAAATCATGGAGCTTAAATTAATCAAAATATGAAGCATTTTGTGTGTTGCATTTTGTATGTGCATTTATTCTGCAGAAGTGTTAAAGAAACAGTACAAGAGGAATTTTGTAAATAAAGCAGAGGTGTGCAGGATTCAAGTTGTGGATCTACTACTAACTTGCTAAATGCATCACTGTTTCACAGGGGTTCTTGGCAGCTATCAAATTTATTTGGCCTTCTTTTCATCTAATAATTTTTGTCCACATTGATCTGATAGCAAAAAAAATACCCGGTAGTTTAACTACTGGGACAAGACAGCAGTTTCTTTCATGAATTAACAATATTCTGAGTGTTTTTTTTTTTCCACAAAATCACATCATGCTTAAACTAAAACTTAAAACTAGAAGAGAAACAACAAAATTGGAGCTCTTTCATCAGCAGTGTTTTACAGCAGTACAGAACAGGAGCTGATTCAAAAAGCTAGACCTTCACCCACCCCACTCACTAATGATTCATTCTATTCTTTTTTTTTTTCTTTTTCAAATAGTTGAAAATAAACATTTAAAAAACTATGAATACCTTCACTTTTCATTTTTAGAAATACATTTTCCATTCACATCCTAAAATTAGAGTACTTTACAGTGTTAAAAAAAAAGTCAAAATACAAGCTTGGACATTTTTGAAACACTTATCTTTATATAAAATTGCAGAAAAAATAGGATAGGATTGGTTAAAGGAGCATTACTTAAGCTACAGAAGAACTACAAAGACCTTAAAAAAAAAAAAAAAAAAAAAGATAAACAGTGCAATGAAAAACATAGTATTATATAATCCAGACCAAACTTTCTACATTGCCAAATTTTTAATGATTTGATATCTTGGTAAAGCACACCTAAAATTTTCATTTTATAAAACAAGACTATTCATGCCATAATGGAGAAATTCTTAGTAACGAAACAGTCACTTGAAGAACTTCCAATTATTAAGACCCTAAACTGTTCTGCATTTAAAACTTCCTCTAATAATCTGACAGAAATTTTTCTACAAAGCAAACTATTGACTGCAGCCCAAGAGGTTCATCAGAACAGCATCTGTAGAAGAGCAATTTTAAAGCAGTAAAAAATACACCAGAATCTGATGTGGAAGTGTGCTGATATCTGCATACACAAGCAGTTATGAAATATCTTTAAGAGAGAATATGTAGTAGACACAAAATAGAGCCTTATTGACACTGACAGTTATTATCTTGGTAACAAGGGCAGTGTTCTTAATACTGTTCAAATCTAATAAAGCATAGGTAGAAAAAAAGTAAGAAAATTATGTCTCTATTACCTGAATGCCAGAAATCAGTAGCACGCTGAAAAGCTGGCACCTGTGATCTCTGAAAATTATTCCTCATTCTAATAAAGTGCAAGAATAGAAAGTAATCTCTGTTTCTGTAACATACTTTACCAAGGGATAGATTCACAGCTTAAAAACATTAGGAAAAAATAAAGGTAAGATATTTCCTTACAATCTCTCCTGTCTGCTCACACACATACATGTTTTTACACTATTTTTTCACTCTTTCTTAAGTCTTTCACTGATGTTCTTAACTATTTATAACTAAAAGTTTACATTACACTTACTCATTATAGCTGTCCTTACTATTCTCATTTTGCTTGTGCAACTGAACAAGTTCATCATTACTGCTTTTTATCTTCTCCTGCAACATAGCAATTTCATTCTTTTTTTCCGTAATTTTTACTGTGTATGCTGAAATTGAGGAAAGAAATCATATATATATTTTCAAGCATGTCTTACCCACACAAACAAAATTTAATATTCTGGATACACACAACGGCAGGATTTTGAGGAACAATATTTTCACTAATACGGGTATTACCAATAGTTATAATGTTAATATGTTTGACAGTAGCAACATTTTTGCTCATATATATACAAAATCTGATCTCGTGTGCTTTGTAAGAAACCACTTTTTTTTTTTTAATAATTGTTCCAGACCTTACTTAATGAATGACAAAGAAAACATTAGCTTATTAGTTTCTCTATCCCAGTTTATATAGAAGTGAATGACTATTTGTGGTGGAAATAAAAGCAATGTGACTAACAGTTAGAGCTGACCTCTCTTTTTTCCAGGGAAAGGGCTGTCTCCAAGGCAGTAGAGGTGGTACACAGGGAAACTTGAGTGCATTTTATTTTGCCTTACTAATGCTTGCAATTGCAGGGACTGACCGGAGTACAGAAGTTCCCTGAGCTAAAGGTTTCTTTTGAATATTGGATTTGTTTGGGTTTACCTAATTCCAGAACTGCAAACATTCTGAATGGTAAAGCTGACTACAAGAAGGGAGAAACAATATTATCACTAACAACATAAAATTAAACAACTTCTAGAAACACTAGCAGAGAAAATTTAAGCTAAAAAGGAAAAAAAAAAAGAATTTAGTTTGATATGTGCAATGCATAATAAATTAATGTGGTGAGGGAGATAAGAATTAATTTATAAGAAACATTCCTTACAATGACAAGTCTTCAAGCAGTGAGCTATTTGGGAGGCAGAAATTCTCATTCTGCCTTTCTAACAATAGATAGATAACAAGAGGTAACATTTTCTTTAATGAAGCCGTTACTAAAATTCAAACTGGTCAATTATTTTTCACAGTTAGCAGATGTAAGAGCCGTCATGCGTGGACACAAAGCAATGCAGGACACACAGCTCTGTGCACATTTACTTCATGTGCTGTTTATTTACTATACTGTAATATAGRGGGTTACATTTGTTAGTGCCCAGTCAGCCCTTGGAATCACTGTTGCTCCGATGCACTGTGTGCAAATGTGGGGACCCTGGAAGYCGCCGGCAGAAGTCTCAATCACAGACTTCCTGCTTTAATTGGGAATCTTAGTTACATGGGATGTATTCCAGGTTGTGTGAATTACTGCTTGAGAACTCCAGGGCATCCTGAATTTTGGTCCTGGTTTTGCAGCATTTGCTAACAGTCACATTCAATCCCAGCAGGATTTACACTAGGAAGGAATTATTGGTCAGAAAGAAACAGCAATTAGGGAAATGCAAAAAAAAAAAAAAAAGTATTTTGAGTAATCTTGAGTAATTCTGATTTTCAATACCTTAATATCTTGAATAATTTATTTAATAGAAGGCATAATGGACAACTGACATATACTTCACTTCTGTGAAAGAAGTGTATTCAGAAGCTGGCTGCATTTTGAGATTCACCAAGATCAAGGGATCACATTTGGAGCACAAATTTTATATACTACCGTTGAACTCCAAAATGTTTCAGCRTATCTACTCTATTTGCAAAGCTAGGCAGTTAACATTTTCTATACGTGAACAGTTCTGAGACAAGTGTGACTTGTTTTATTTATGCCTTTATATATACTTTGGTTTGTAAAGACCAACCATTGTGGATGAGATCCATCTTGCCAGCTTTACAGTGAAGACGTTCCATCAAAACTAGACATCCAGGTCTCCCACATAAACAATGGAGAGGAATAGGCATTTTTTAAAGTACACTTTATCTAACCTACTCTAAACTCCCTCTTTARGATGAGATGAATCATATCCTGCCTGTTTGCCTTCACTGATTATAAGGGGTACCAAGCAAAAAAACCCTGACAAAAACCACATACTAAAATTCAGACACTGAACACTACAACTGCTCCCCTGCCAAGTAATACTAAAAGACTTAGTGAAATCAATGGAAATATTTCTGATACACTTGTGAAGGATTTAACCCACACTTTAAAAAGACTGAGGGTTAATTTTGAGTTCATATATTTCTAATCTGACCTTGCAAATAGTTATACCAAGTTACTAAGCAGCCTTTGCATTGTCCCTAAAAGCATGTGCATTTACAATATGCCTGCATAAATGCTAAGGAAAAAAACAACTCTATATTTCAATTATATGACCAAATAGCTAAAACAGAATTCCAAGAGAACCAGATTAGTGTTAGGGGTTTTTTTATTCATTTAAGATATTTCAACTTTGGCAGTCGTCTCATCATATAAATATGTGCTTGTACAGATCTGCCAAGGAATACTGCCTCCAAAAGGAACACCARTCACACCAGAACTATCCCCTATTCTTTCTTCTAAAGGTTGCAAGCTTCAATTTCTACTTTAAAATGTATCAGTGATGAGCAGAGGTGTCCTCAGATTGCCTGAAGAATCATCCCTACCACAATTACGTTCGTAACAGAGCGATATCACATAGCATGATGATAAAAAAGACCTAGGCCTGCAATATTATGCTGTATGCTAGTGCTGTGGGAAAAAAAAAAAAAAAAAATGTCTGGAACAAGATGTTCTCATTTTGTCTACTGTTTTTAAATTTCAAAAAAAAATGCAAGCTGCTGGACTTCAGGAAAAAAAAAAAAAAAGGAAGCTTGAGTAGACAATTTCAATTGAGAGAACTTTTATTATTACAGAAAGAGAGAAGAAACTGGGAGGCAAAAGTCCAAAACCGAGGAGAATAAAAAACATGAAGAAAGAAAGGGAGGCAAGTGGCAGATGTAATGAGCAAGCACAGCTGAATCAAAGAACTGCTAGTGACTGTGAGGAGCTACAGAGGAAGAGCAGGAAATGGCGCAGCGTGAAACTGGCTGCCCATGAGACAGCTGAACACCATGAGCTAAAAGTGGAAGGCAAAAACAAAGTCTACGAGGGAGAATGAGTGAGTATTGATGGCAAAAGATGAGGTAGGGTGAATGCAGGACATAGGACAGCCTTCATTATTCGACTTGCTTCCGTCTCTGGAAYTCAAAACATGCATCAGGTCTAATGAATTAAAAGCAGTGTGTTCAATGACTGATAAAACAGCAGATCTCTACTTACAGTTTATCTCTTCCTTCATATGTTCCTTAGCATAAGAGGTTTGTTCCAGATGGAAAACTAAGAAGAAAGTATAAATTTTTTTCATACATAGCTATAAAAAATGGTGAAACAGACATATGCTGTACAATATTTATAGCACAAACAGTAATTAAGATTTTGACAAGCTAAAATTACCCCTTCATACATGTAGTTTTGCTATCAAGTAGTAGTTAGCCCCTCTCTCCATAAACTTATATCTAGCAAATCGTCATATAGGCCAAAAAAAAAAAAAAAAAAAATTCATTTCTATCACAAATTTTCTCATTTTAGGTTAATGTAGCTGTTTAATTGTTCAAAAACACAAAACAGGGCCTACCACACTGAAGCAGAAGTTTGTCCAAGTTGCTTAAGACTCTGTCAGTCATTGTGTAAACTATAAAAAGAAAAATGGCAATTCAAGATTTTACAGAGAACGTCAAAGGCTTTGACTTGTGAGTCAGAATTACAAGAAAATAACATATATTTTAAGACAGGATATTTGAATTCTTTACCTCAACCATTTCAGTGGAACCAAACTTCTCACTGAGAACGGTAATGGACTCCTTGAAAGTCAAAGCCACAGTAAGAAAGGGAGGTGCATCATCTAAGTAGAGGTTGCTGGAACAGTTCTATCTCTGAGAGGCATAATGCCCTCAGAAGCCTTGAGGAATACAATAAAAGATGCTTGTGCACAAAATATGTAGCCTCTTCAGCAGCTGGTTTATTAAACCTATCAACAGCAATGCTGACAATGGGAGAGCTACTGCGCACTCTGTGAAACTGCAAAGCACATTGCGATGAAGACCACGAATGTGGGTTTAAAAACAGAATTTATGTGCCTTGTAAACTAGGATGGACTATTACAAATTAATTTATACTTCTGTTTCATAGTGCTGCGAGGTACATAAATTCAGTTATGGGTTTTTTTAAACAATATGGGAAGCGTGTAGTCTTCTAAGAAGCTTGCAGTGTTTTAATGGGACAGCGCTGAATACACGTAGTTACTTCGGATGTATTTTGGAGTTACACAAGAGCAAAGCTACTTGAAATTTCACCATCCCACTGTGGCTTCACCATGCCCCTAATTCTGTATAAAAAGTCAAGCCACAACAAACTGGGGATACACTGGATAGATGAGATCCTAACGCAGGAAAAAGGGGAAAAGAAAACCATGGCACTAATTAACCAATGGCACTAACTAAGGTTGTCTTAAGACTGCAATTTGTTCTACACTGAGACCGTGAAAAGAAGGGAAAGGGCTTTTAAAATGCCGGCTGTTTCACAGAAATGAATCTACCTAACACTTCAGTAATAATAAAAATACTTAATGCAAGAGACTGAGTTATGAAAAAAACATTAAGTAAATACTCCTGAAGCCACAGGTCAGTGCAGAATATTTTTGCTTTTACACACTGCAAAGGCAAATAAAGTGATTCTTTAGGATGATAATAACAACACTGTTTGGTATGCAGCATGCAAAATGAAACARTCCTACCAGGGTGGAATGATGTGTATTTGACCCTAAAATATATTTAATTAGGCACTGCACATAAGTATCCTATGGAAGTTTAAACAGTCCAGGAAACTTGTACTGTATTAGTAAACTGGGGGTCAAACAGCAAGCACCATGTGGAGAACACTAAAGATTTGTTCCTTTTCTAGGAGTAGTTTAACAGTGTTAATGTGAGTTGGTTCATAGACAGTTCACATAAGAAAAAAAAAAAAAAAAAAAANAAAAAAAAAAAAAAAAAAAACAGAAATTGGGGTAGGAACAGAAGGCAGATAGGTAAATTAGGGAAAAAAAACACAAATATAACATTATCTTATAAAAGTATTACACAGGTCACAATATTTCATATTCATTGACTTATAAATCACAACAAAGTAACAAAGTACACTAAGAATAGAGCAGAATGTAAAACAGCTTATTATTAAGATRCTACATATTACTCTATCAACTTGTCATTAACAGCACTATTATTATAATTTGGATATTTTTATAAAAGACAGGAATAGAATTAAAATTAGACTTTTTTTCCCTGTAACTTCATAGTACAATACAATTTATTTAAAGTTGTCAAAATAATTAGTGCCTCTGAAAGCAAGCATATGGAAATACTTGATCTTGGTCATACTACTAAGAGAAGTAACATAACTGCAAAAGACAGTTACTCTGTATTAAGACTGCATCAAGTTGCTAATCAAGAGGCTATTAGCATTAGACTGCATCAAGTTGCTAATCAAGAGGCAAAAGGTGCTATTAGCAAAAATGGCTGAGAGGTTCAACAGCACTGGCAATTTATAAGTTAGTAGATTTTAAAACAGAGGTTAACACTTAAAACAGAAACCACGTGAATTGCTGGACAACTGACAACTTCCAAGATGTGACTCTTTCAAGCTCTCTGAAGTGCTGGGGTTCTTTGGATGAAGCTTATGTTCCTGAGGAATCACATATCAAAAACTATCAGTGATGTGGCATATTTCACAGCTCTCCATATATTAAATTGCTAGTTTTGACACCARTGCATTTTTCAATACTTTAAAGAGTGAAAAATATGCAATATACAGCAGATGGGTAAAACAGTATTAAAAAGTAATAAAACAGTATTATATATGATGAGGTACCTCCCTGTCTGCTACTGTCAATGCTATTCAGAATACGACCACTAATAAAATACGAATATTGCATTTTTGTATTACATTAATAAGCATAATTACATAAAATTCCACCATGCCATATATTTTGAGGTTGTATAGACAGCAGAAACCACAAATGGATTGTCTGACTGAGTCTCTAGCCATTACCAGTACAGTAACATTAATGTCATTTCTCATAGCAGACTTGGAGTAGTGTGATTTCATGTCCTCACTGACAACACCCATGGCCGTGTTCTTCATCAACGGGGTAAAACACCAATAATCTATAAAAGAGACTTCTTTCCTCAACTCAAATGCTTAGCACTCAAATTATATCCTGAAACATGTCAGCATCCTTTATAAACATCTTCCTGAAGTAACCCGTGATATATTTTTTGCTGGTATGACTTTCTACTCTTTAAAAATCTGCTATGACAATTAATGCCACACTGCTGTGTATAACAACACTAATTTATCTTGGGTTTACACAAATCTTTTCAGTGTTATAATTGTTATGATTGCCAAATTATTTTTAATGGTTTGTATAAAACATTTTAAAWTTTTCATCTGAAGAAAGCCATATTTCTGCAGATATATTCATGATAGTACAGAACTCTTTTACAAGTGTAAGACGTAAGTCTACAACAGACTTAAGTAGTCTACAATAGCCTACAGTAGACTAAAAGATTTATAGATTAACTTTTTATTGACTTTAAAAAAATAAAAAACACTACATCTCTCATGATCCTTCTCAGGTCGTTTATACAGAATCATTTTCAAGACCCAGTAATGACACTTGAACACTGTATTTAAGGTTTCTTATTAAAAACCTGCTGCTGTTTTCACTGTTTATAACACCACCAAAACCCTTTCCTGACTGGGGACAATCCTACATAGTACCAATATGAGTTGGTATAACATAATGAGTTGGTTCTACATTTATAAATTCCCTATTTTTAATGTTTTCAATTTATGCCTTCCAATGCATTGACAGAGCCTGCTGTGCACCACGACTGCATTACTAACTGCAGACAACCTATTTTTAAATTCACCATAGAGTCAGAAATGTTTCTTCGGTTGACATACTTCACTTTTTTTCTCCAAAACACCTACCAAGCAGGATGTTACTGCAGATTTACTCGTAAAGCTCCTGGAACTTAAAAAATAAACAAGTAAATAAGTATTRAAAGGATATTTTTCATAAAATATCGGGGTTGGGGCAAAAATACTGACACCGCTMAGAACACCACAGGTGCCCGCCACAAAATGGCCCCCCGGGGCAGCGGCGCGAAGCCCCCCGGGTCACAGAGGGATGGCAGCCGCGCAGCCCTCGCCCCGCTGCAGGGTCCCCGAGAGCCACCAGGCTCGGGGAGGTGACCGGCCCTGACAACCGAGGGGAAGGCGAGGAAAAGGCCGGGAAGCAACATGGCCCCCGGCCGCCTCCTCCTTCGCCTCAGGGCGGCCGCCACCCGCCGCGCACCTACCCGCGGCGAGGCGGGAAAATGGCCGGCACCTACCCGCGGCGGCCGGGGCGCTCCGCGCGCCTCAGCGGCGCCGGCCGGCGGGCGAGCGCCGGCGCTGGCCGGGGCGCGGAGCGAGCCAAAAGCGAGGAGGATGCTCCATCTACCGGGGAGACGGCGCCGCCGCCGCCGGCTGCCTCCCCGCGGGGAGCAAAGCTCCCTGCGCCGGGAACCGCCATGGGCCCGCAGGAGCTCCTGAACAAGTGGAAATTGGGAGGTTGTCGGGGAGCTTCTGCCACCCCTGCTGGGGAGGACCCATCTGCCCCTCGTGCTGCCCCGAAAACTCCGAGAAACAGAGGTTTCATGCTGGAAAAGCACATGATTTCCACCATGTCCATGAGCCTCCATTCAATGATGCCCATTACCTCTCGTTTCCACCATGTCTCCTCATGTCTCATGGTCTCCTTGGCCCTCCCAAGAGGTCTCCTCCCTCTTGGCCTTCCAGCACTTCCATGCTCTTCAACCAAGGGTGCTTAGAGAAGTTGGGTGGCCCATCGGTTGGTCCTCAGGGACATGAGCTGACCTGGATGGTTGTTGCTTGYTTTAGCAGGCATCGGGTAGAGTCATAGGGATCTTCCCAGTTAATTCCAACCACCAGGAGCCCCACAGGGCCCAGGAGTAATTTTAACCCTCCAATTTATCACAGGGAAGGGGGAGCTGCCCCAAGTTGATCACTGGAGAAAGGGGAGCTTTGCATCCCGATATATCTTCCTTCTTTGTTTTGCCTTGCTTTGTGATAATATGTCTCTAAATTAAATAAATGCATATATAAACGGGTATTTTATTTCCCCAGACCTCAAGAAGGACAGACTCTTCCATGATGTCACCTCTGGTTGAGGAATGGGTTGCATTCCTCTGACAAGAGGTGCAGTCAATGCTGGCCTCTGGAAGGGCTCCATAACCAGCTGCCTCCATCCTGGTAGACCACCAGGATCTCCTGCTTCCTCAGCCAAAAATCCTAAAACCAAGACACTCCATGGCCTTGGCTTCCTCATTGCTACTGCTCATGTGGCCCTGCTCCCTTCCCCCTTTGGCAAGGTCCCTTCTAGTTGATGGAAAGGGGGAGAAAAAGCAGGGATTTTGAAGCAGAGAGAAGGGTCAATGCTCAGCCAATGCTGGCAGTGGCCTGAGATGATCTCTAGGGCCTCTGTGCCAAGTCCCTCCAAAAAAAGAGCAAGGCAGAGCCATATTCTTATTCTTCCTAAGTCTCCCGTGATTTTCTTCCTGGGTTTCCTCTAGCCACGGGACTTTCTTCTGAATCCCAAAAGTGCCTGGTTATTTCAGGAAGAGAATGAGCGGGTTGCACCAAAAGACAAAACTCCTGGCCTTTACAGCCCTGTGAGGTTCAGGAAGCCACTAGCAAGATTTAAAAAAATAAATAAATAAAAATAATAATAATTTTTAAAAAGCTTATCGCGGAGGGGAGGTGTGTATGTATGTTTGTTTGTTTTGTTTTTTTCAGACAAAAGACAGCACCCCCTGCCCCCTCCTGTCCCCTCACCTTGGGGGGAACGGGTAATATTTAATATTTAAAAGATCTCTCTACATTTCCGTATACCTGAAACAAGTTTTCCATAAGATTCCAGCTCTCTGCCTGCTTTCAAAGGAAGGGAGCGCAAGAATGCCTTCTTTTCAGGGAAATAGTAATAGCTATAGCAATAGTAATGATAAAGTTCCTAAGAGGGAAAACAAGGTGTGAAAGAGGAGCTCACACAGAGAGAAGGGGAAGCAGCAAAACAGGCAAAAGTAACCAGATTAATTTAAAGTTTTTTTTTTGTTTCTTGCCTTTTGCATAAGTTTTTTAGAGAAAGCCTTGACAGAAATCAGCCTTTTTTTTTTAAGTGGTTTTTTTTTAAGTGTTTTTACTGAAACATGAGTTGTAAAGAAATAATAACATTTAAAAAATATTATTTTGTGTGTTAACCTTTGGTTATGTTTTGTGTGTTAACCTTCAGGAAAAGGTACTAGCCAGCCAAATCCAGATGGATGAGGGGCTACATAGCCCTTGTGAGCTATGCGCTTAAGAAAATTAAGGAGAAATCTTGTCCAGTGGCAGCCCCGGCCTTGAAAAGGGCCTCGTGCGAGGACAGTCTTTTCATTTCCGTCTCTAAATCCTTCTTCTAACACGAAATTCATCAGCCCATGTCCGACGCTCTCACACTGCAGGAAAGCGAAATTATAAGAGTTAAAAAATGCCTGTTCTGAGAGTGGAAATGGGTTATCCGCGGAACATCTTTGTCGATAGGCAGAGTTTTAGGGACATTTTGGTACTTTCAGTGGATATCAGAAATTTAAGTGAAGAGTCAACCTGTGCACACTTCCTATTAAGGAGATTACAACTTTAAGCATAGCTCATTTGGGGAATAAAAGGAGTGATAGTGGGTGCTATTTCAGCAAGGATAACCCTCGAAAAAAATAATAAAAGGAAACATGCAAAACACACGGCGAGGCTGTAAATCCTTCATTGGCCTGAAGATTCCGGGAGGTTTTAAGGCTACCTGGTGCTCCAGGGCTGCTTAACCCCCGCGGGTTTCCTTCGGGGTGCGTTATTCAGCGTTGCCCGTTGCCCATAGCCCTGGGACGACACGAAACGCTGAGGCAACGGTTTTGTGCGAGGTTCAAAGCTAGAAATGCCCTCCGTTTGCCTCCCAAGCAGTGGCCACCACTAGTCAAACCAGGAAGGAGCCAGCTCCTTCCTCCAAAATCCCAGTCCTCCAAATTCCCGGCGCAGGGAAACGGCCCCGGGAGCCTCTGGCGATCCCGCGGTCGCAGGCGCAGGTAGTTTWAAAAAAACATTTTCCTATAAGCGACCCCAGTGTCCTGTTGCAGAGCATCCCTCTCCTCACACTGCCCCGGACGAGCTGGGAAAGGGGCACAAATCCCGGCTCGGGACCAGGAGCTGCCCGGGGCTTTTCATTCCCGGGGTTAATTACGGCTTTAGGACCCACTCGAGGGACGCCCTGTCCACAGGCCAAAGCGGGCATCGTGTAAGAGGGACCGYCAGGACGATATAGCTTGACAGTAGTATTTTATTTCTGAGATATATATWTTTTTATGAGCAGTTTGATTTCTCCCTCTCCAGCGGGTTAATCTCCGCAGGGATTCGCKCTACCTGCGGCAGAGCTCCGAGCTGCTTCCTAAATTGAGGATGTTACTGCGGCTGGTTAATAATGTCATGGGTAGTGCCCCTATTATACGAAATAAAAGAAGGGACAAAACCGGAGCGGAGGCGCCGCATCGCCCACCACTTATCGCTCAAATATCGCGCTCCCCGCAGACGGAAAGTCTCTGTTTTCGCCCCAAATTCCCCTCCTGAAGGATAAGAGCCTGGGGAGAGAGAGGGAGGTTTGGAAACGGTCAGGAAGACCCCGTGGCACCGCTGGTGCCGCTTCCCAAATATCCTCCCCGGCTTTTACAGCTGCGGGAGGCAGCTGGTTGAGACGGAACTCCGGGGTATCTCGGTGTCTGTGCCCCTGCTCTCTGCCCCTAGAAGGGCTGTCGTGTCCCCTCCCTGTCGGACTCGTCCMTGGCGACCTGGGGGACAGTCCCCAGTCCCCTGAGCCTGACGAGGACRCGTTTCTTTAGCCTCCAGGCTCGGCTCTCACTGCGGAGCCTCGCTCTGCTCAGGGCCATTAGGCTCCCGAGCCGGCTCATGTGCATGCTTAAAAAAATAAATAAAATAGAAGTAAATGAAGGCTTGCAATGCTACCAAGCGCAATGGTAGCGAGAGCGAAGTGCCCGTTTCCACCCTCCGCCTCCTGCACCCTGTGCGGGGAGCCCCGGGGCAGGAGGCTCAAACGCACCCGGCTCCGCCACCTCCCCAGCCCCTCGCTAGGGAAGCCCAGTGCTCACAGCGAGGAGGGCTCGTTTTCCTATTGTTTATTTATTTGTCTATTTTTTTTTTTATTTCTGTCCAGCGGGGTCTTTGGGATCCTGCTCCGAGCCGTTCCAACGGAGAGGACTCGGGCAGGAAGGGAATCTCTCCCTCCGTGCCTGATCCTCAGCAACACTTGCAGATCGTCTTTTAATTTTATGTTTTTTTTTCTCCTCCTTTCCCTTCAGTGGACTGACATATCAAACCTGAATCCGCAAGGTGAAACCGAAGTGCACCCCACATTTTTTATTTTAAGTTTCTCTTAAGTGTCTCTGAACTCATGAGTTTTGTCTGTGCTTTTCTGTCTCCCCAGCTCTGTCGAGTTTTATGAAAATGAGCAGTATTGAAAGCTTTTCCATCCCGCTAGCTGTGAGCCTCACATAAATGATGTAAATGGCTCGGAGGGGTTTTTTCAAGTGAACTGTGTAGATCTGTGAAAATAATATCAGGGTTTTCCGTCAGAATGAGCTTAGCACTGTACTGAGGCGTACCATAATCTGACCCGACACCTCAGACCATCTGCGCTATCTATCTGCCTTCTGATTTACCAAATCTTCACAAGCAAAAGACAAATTGTACTTGATACTAAAGAAAAGACGGC